TCTATATGTCTGACGTCTATATGACTGACGTCTGTATGACTGACGTATGTATGGCTTATGTCTATATGGCTGATGTCTATATGTCTGACGTCTATATGACTGACGTCTGTATGTCTGACGTCTATATGTCTGACGTCTATATGACTGACGTCTGTATGACTGATGTCTGTATGGCTTATGTCTATATGGCTGATGTCTCTATGGCTGATGTCTCTATGGCTGATGTCTATATGTCTGACGTCTATATGTCTGACATCTATATGACTGACGTCTGTATGGCTGATGTCTCTATGGCTGATGTCTATATGTCTGACGTCTATATGACTGACGTCTGTATGGCTTATGTCTATATGGCTGACGTCTATATGTCTGACGTCTATATGACTGACGTCTGTATGGCTGATGTCTGTATGTCTGATGTCTATGTAGACGTCATTGCTAATGTCTATATGTCTGACGTCTATATGACTGACGTCTGTATGGCTGATGTCTCTATGTCTGACGTCTATATGACTGACGTCTGTATGGCTGACGTCTGTATGGCTGATGTCTATATATCTGATGTCTATATAGACGTCATTGCTAATGTCTATTTGTCTGACGTCTATATGACTGACGTCTATATGGCTGACGTCTGTATGGCTGATGTCTATATGGCTGATGTCTATATAGACGTCATGGCTGATGTCTATATGTCTGACATCTATATGACTGACGTCTGTATGGCTGATGTCTCTATGGCTGATGTCTATATGTCTGACGTCTATATGACTGACGTCTGTATGGCTTATGTCTATATGGCTGATGTCTATATTTCTGACGTCTATATGACTGACGTCTGTATGGCTGATGTCTCTATGGCTGATGTCTCTATGGCTGATGTCTATATGACTGACGTCTGTATGGCTGTCTATATGTCTGACGTCTATATGTCTGACGTCTATATGGCTGAGGACAGTTCAGGTTTTTAAAATGATATCATTATAGTCAGAATATTGTGCATAACATCATCCATACTTGTTTAAGTTGAAGCCCTGTTACACGACATCAGGGCACTAATAGCTACTGTATAGACTATTTTTTGTAGTTGGTAATCAGTTTCTAGATAACTGTATTTTTGTAAGGTTTGCACCATGAAATAGTTTTTGTGATGTGAATTATTTCTGTGTATAATTAAAACAATTGATTTTGTATTCAACAGTAATAAAGTCACTCTCATTATTTCATTGACTTGTTATTTGTTTGTCAAGAATAGGCACTACAGATGTAAACTAGTAACAAACACAGGACAGTAGGATAAGTACTGGAGGTGTTAACTAGTAACAAACACAGGACAGTAGGATAGGCACTACAGATGTAAACTAGTAACAAACACAGGACAGTAGGATAGGCACTACAGATGTAAACTAGTAACAAACACAGGACAGTAGGATAAGTACTGGAGGTGTTAACTAGTAACAAACACAGAACAGTAGGATAAGTACTGGAGGTGTTAACTAGTAACAAACACAGGACAGTAGGATAAATACTAGATATGTTAACTAGTAACAAATACAGGACAGTAGGATAAGTACTGGAGGTGTTAACTAGTAACAAACACAGGACAGTAGAATAAGAACTGGACGTGTTAACTAGTAACAAACACAGAAAGAAGCATAAATACTGGACATGTTAACTAGTAACAAACACAGAACATAGGATAAGTACTGGACGTGTTAACAAGTAACAAACACAGGACAGTAGGATAAATACTGGACACGTTAACTAGTAACAAACACAGGACAGTAGGATAAGTTCTGGAGGTGTTAACAAGTAACAAACACAGGACAGTAGGATAAGTACTGGAGGTGTTAACTAGAAACAAACACAGGACACTGTCATTTCCTGTACCCAACACGCGTTTTCTTGTTTTTTTTTTTTTTATTAAATACACACGTTTTCACACCTCGTTTACTGACATCACGACCATGACACTAATGGCTGACATGCATGTACAAGTATCAGAGGTTAAGTACCCATTCAATTGTCATTACCTGGCAAGTTGGTTAATTAAGTTTAGTTAGTTAATCTTCAAAAGTAAACATTGCGAGTCCTGGTTGTAAACAGAACTTACAGGCTTCCAATACATGTACTCCTTCTCCAAAGTGAGCGAGAAAAAAATCTCTTATTGAAGGAAAACTTAGTTTTCATTAATGATTCAGAGAAAGTTTGATGTCCATAATGAAAATGAAGATGAATCCAAAACCTGTCAAGCATAACAAAATGTGTGACATTGATATTGGTGATGGGCTTGTCATGCTTGACCAAATACGGTCATATACCGTGTCAAAAAAGGATAGATATTTAGCAACTATCAAAAACTTGTGATCTCTTTCTCAAACAGAATATCAAAAAACCAGTGAAAGAAAACACAGTTTACACTGGACAAATACTCTCTTCCTCGTAAGGCTGGAATGATGTGTGTGTAATCATGGCTACAGTTGGGAGTGTAACTTTTTCCAGTTTTTCTTGTAAGGGCATTTCATACCCATTAATAAAAAAATTAACATATGATATAGAATATTAATAATATTATTGTTGTGTCTTACTTCCCATGGGAACATTGGTTAGGTATGAACAACGTTTACTGAACTAAAATCTGACAGGCTGATACTGACACTGATTTGACCCCGTCACATCCGTCATTTTATTGTGTTACCCTGTGATGTCAGTAAACTCAGGTCTTACTGTAATTCTATTTTCCTGACAAATCCAATATTAAGTCATTGTTTTACGTAAATTGCCCTTCATCCCTTGTCCACGATCAAGCTGTGAACAATTCTTGTTATCACTGTTATAAAAAAGCTGTAAAGATATTTCTCAAACTTCATGTTTGTGATCAGGGAAAAAAAATCAATGGCAAATAGATTGCTTTTTTAGATTCAGACAGTCAAAGTTTGTTTGCTATTTCTTGAGATATACATAAAGGATATTCCTGAAACTTAAAATCCTACTCCTGTAGGAATGAATGGATATTGCCCAAATTTGTTGCATTCTTGAGTTAACGGAAATCAATTTTGTATAAACATTGGGTCTCGGCCCCCTAAGGAGCCATTAGGGGAATTTCTTTAAAATGCTACTCTTGTAGGAATGATTGGATTTGCCCTAAATTTGGTCTGAAGTATTCTTGGAAGAAAGGCATCCAGCATCGTGTGTCCCTCATGCATTCATTAAACTTTTTACATTTTGTTCTTATCCTGGAAAACCCCTGAACCAATTTCATCATAACGTGGCTGAAATCTTTCGTGGCAAAAGGTTTTCATAATTAATGTTATGATATAGTTCCCACCCCAACCCAAGGGGCCTGAGGGATGGGACCAAAAGGGATCAAATTGACAGAAATTTCAAAAATCTTCTTCTCAAAACCCAAATGAGGTAGAATATATACTCTTCAGAAATGAACAGGTCTTAAGGTACATTAACAAAATTGTAAATTTCATGTCCCCACGGTCTCATATTTCCCCGTGGGGAGGTGGTAAAGTTTACTATGGTTTATGTAAGAAAATTACATTTCTAAGTATAATTTGTTTATTTTCTATTAGAAATAGATAAAACTTGGTTAAAATTGTTAGTATAGGATGACAATTTGATAGAATGCACATATTGGCCTTAAATTATTGACTGACAACAAGTTGCACTCACTAGGTGTAATTGTAAACAGTACAAGTACAGTGGATCTTCTCCAAACTGACCATGCAGTGGACATATTCGGCCAAATTAGGGAGGGTTCGGTTTACAGAATTGAATGAAGATGACGGGTCTGGAATCTGATGTAGTTTTTCTGATTCTGCCCTGTACATTACATAAACCATTATGTTTGGTTTGAGCTTTTAACTGAATATAAAGAATCTTTTTAAAGTGATTTCACTTAAAAAGAAATTATACTTTACCCAGCGATGTCGCCACAAACTAATGTAACGCTGTACAATGTCCACCTTGTCTAAACTTATCATTCAAACAACTTTTTATCAATAACTGAAAGGCCATGGGTGCTGATTGGACCTGTAGCATGCTTGGTCCAGGGTTACCGAGTTCGTTCAAATAAATTACTTTTGGCCCAAGGTGCTGATGTTTGGCCTGTATAACACAGGGATAAAGGGCTACCAAGTTTGTTAAATTGCATGACCTTGACCCTCTATGAAGGTCACTGAGGTAAGATGTTTTGAGATCTTGAAATTTCTTCTGTTAACAACCAATAGGTCTTGGGTTATGATGTTTGTGTATGTATGAGGAATAGGATTTCAAGTTTGTAGAAATTGACCATATGAACCAATAAGGTGTTCTAAGCTACAGAAAAGGTGAGTTATACAGGCCCAAAGGGCCTCCATCACATATCACTCTCTTTATATAGAGGTCCATGAAGGCTGTTGGGCCCCTTGTTTGTATATGTTAAAATAACTTACAAATCAGACACGTAAATACATTTTTTTAGCTCTACATAAGCACTATTTTCATTTCATTTAGCCCCTTTCTCGTTTCGGAGAAACAATGGATTCATTCCATATGGTTCCATCATGTCATGAGTGATAATTATGTGTAATCTGTTTGGTGTTGATATTGACAAGGATCACTTTTGGGAAGGTTTTTTATTGTTAGGATAAAGAGGACGTCATTCCAAACATCACCATTTGGTTCAGGTTCAGGAGGTGAAAGGTTATCAGGAGGTGAAAGGTTATCAGGAGGATGGGAAATTACTTAGTAGTTGTGTGTGTATAAACAGTAGCAGTAGATCGTGAACAGGAATTCCATTGATAAAAAAACTGAGTGTCCTGACAGACATGTCACACGATGGCTTGTTACAATCGACTTTTCAACTAGCTTTTTTTTTTTTTTCATCAAGGAATGAAAAGAAAAAATTGCTGAATCAGAAAGCAACATTTGTTGTACCAACATCAAAAAATAAATGATTATCATGCTACATTTGTTATCATTAAAGAGAAATGAATGTTTGCTTGTTGCAGGTCTAAGTGAAGACATTAGTTCTCACATTAGGGTTGTGGAGCTACAACATGATGCCGCTGGTTCGCTTGGACTCAGCATCGCAGGAGGTATCGGTAGTTCCATCGGAGATGTGGCTGTTATGATTGCTAACATGACGCCTGGAGGACCAGCAGAAAAAAGTCACAATCTGAAGGTTGATTTTTGTTTCTGAATTTATGAATTTGAGTTGTTACAGCCCACCTATAACTAAACTAAACTAAATGTTGATTTTCTGTCTGAATTTATGAATTTAGATTTGAGTTTTAACAGCCTGACTATAACTAAACTAAACTAAGGGTTGAGGGACCATTTATAACCAAATTGTACAAAGTCTTGGTTTTTTGTAGAATGTCATTGATGTTGCAATAATTACAAGACTTTTATACTCAAATTATATTAGAATTGGGACAGATAAGATCATGAATTTCTTTGTTAAAACACTTGACTGTGTCTAATGCTAAAACCAAAATTTATGATCTGATCTCCAGTATATGCATAAAAGCAAACATACTAACCCACTCAGTAAAGAGTCTGTCACAATGTGGGGCCCTCCCAGACATGTCAGTAATCTAGTACAATACATGTTGTAACAGTGATTGTTGTATTATACCAGACCTGTGTGTGATTTGAATTGTTGTAGATTGGAGATAAGATCTTGCAGATTAACGACCAAGTGACAGACGGCTTGAGCCATGATGAAGTAGTACAACTGTTGAAGACACCTGGTGTTGTTAGACTACAAGTCCAACATGGTAAGTAACATCTCCAGGACAATCAGTGTGGATTGTCTGTCCAACATCAGGTACATAACATCTCCAGGACACAATCAGTGTGGATTGTTTGTCCAGCATCAGGTACATAACATCTCCAGGACACAATCAGTGTGGATTGTTTGTCCAGCATCAGGTACATAACATCTCCAGGACAATCAGTGTGGATTGTCTGTCCAACATGTCTGTACAACATCAGGTACATAACATCTCCAGGACACAATCAGTTGATTGTCTGTCCAATATCAGGTATGTAACATCTCCAGGACACAATCAGTGTGGACAGTCTGTCCAACATCAGGTACATAACATCTCCAGGACACAATCAGTGTGGATTGTCTGTCCAACATCAGGTACATAACATCTCCAGGACACAATCAGTGTGGATTGTCTGTCCAACATCAGGTACATAACATCTCCAGGACATTCAGTGTGGATTGTCTGTCCAACATCAGGTACATAACATCTCCAGGACACAATCAGTGGATTGTCTGTCCAATATCAGGTACATAACATCTCCAGGACACAATCAGAGTGGATTGTCTGTCCAACATCAGGTATGTAACATCTCCAGGACAATCAGTGTGGATTGTCTGTCCAACATCAGGTATGTAACATCTCCAGGACACAATCAGAGTGGATTGTCTGTCCAACATCAGGTACATAACATCTCCAGGACATTCAGTGTGGACAGTCTGTCCAACATCAGGTATGTAACATCTCCAGGACAATCAGTGTGGATTGTCTGTCCAACATCAGGTATGTAACATCTCCAGGACACAATCAGTGTGGATTGTCTGTCCAACATCAGGTACATAACATCTCCAGGACAATCAGAGTGGATTGTCTGTCCAACATCAGGTACATAACATCTCCAGGACACAATCAGTGTGGATTGTCTGTCCAACATCAGGTACATAACATCTCCAGGACACAATCAGTGTGGATTGTCTGTCCAACATCAGGTACATAACATCTCCAGGACACAATCAGTGTGGATTGTCTGTCCAACATCAGGTACATAACATCTCCAGGACACAATCAGTGTGGATTGTCTGTCCAACATCAGGTACATAACATCTCCAGGACACAATCAGTGTGGACAGTCTGTCCAACATCAGGTACATAACATCTCCAGGACACAATCAGTGTGGATTGTCTGTCCAACATCAGGTACATAACATCTCTAGGACACAATCAGTGTGGATTGTCTGTCCAACATCAGGTATGTAACATCTCCAGGACACAATCAGTGTGGATTGTCTGTCCAACATCAGGTACATAACATCTCCAGGACACAATCAGTGTGGATTGTCTGTCCAACATCAGGTACATAACATCTCCAGGACACAATCAGTGTGGATTGTCTGTCCAACATCAGGTACATAACATCTCCAGGACACAATCAGTGTGGATTGTCTGTCCAACATCAGGTACATAACATCTCCAGGACACAATCAGTGTGGATTGTCTGTCCAACATCAGGTACATAACATCTCCAGGACACAATCAGTGTGGATTGTCTGTCCAACATCAGGTACATGTCTGTACAACATCAGGTACATAACATCTCCAGGACACAATCAGTTGATTGTCTGTCCAATATCAGGTATGTAACATCTCCAGGACACAATCAGTGTGGATTGTCTGTCCAACATCAGGTACATAACATCTCCAGGACACAATCAGTGTGGATTGTCTGTCCAACATCAGGTACATAACATCTCTAGGACACAATCAGTGTGGATTGTCTGTCCAACATCAGGTATGTAACATCTCCAGGACACAATCAGTGGATTGTCTGTCCAACATCAGGTACATAACATCTCCAGGACACAATCAGTGTGGATTGTCTGTCCAACATCAGGTACATAACATCTCCAGGACACAATCAGTGTGGATTGTTTGTCCAACATCAGGTACATAACATCTCCAGGACAAAATCAGTGTGGATTGTCTGTCCAACATCAGGTACATAACATCTCCAGGACAAAATCAGTGTGGATTGTCTGTCCAGCATCAGGTACATAACATCTCCAGGACAAAATCAGTGTGGATTGTCTGTCCAGCATCAGGTACATAACATCTCCAGGACAAAATCAGTGTGGATTGTCTGTCCAACATCAGGTACATAACATCTCCAGGACACAATCAGTGGATTGTCTGTCCAACATCAGGTACATAACATCTCCAGGACACCATCAGTGTGGACAGTCTGTCCAACATCAGGTACATAACATCTCCAGGACACAATCAGTGTGGATTGTTTGTCCAGCATCAGGTACATAACATCTCCAGGACAAAATCAGTGTGGATTGTCTGTCCAACATCAGGTTCATAACATCTCCAGGACACAATCAGTGTGGATTGTCTGTCCAGCATCAGGTATGTATCATCTCCAGGACACAATCAGTGTGGATTGTCTGTCCAACATCAGGTATGTAACATCTCCAGGACACAGAGTAGCTAGTAAATCTCCGGAATGAAGTCCAACATTGTTTGAGAAAAAATGACTTTTGCCCATATTTAAGGTCTCATGGGTCAAATTTATCAAAAGCTGTAAAATACTTCTGATAAACCTTAAGATGGAGAAGCAGAATATCTGTTGGAAACATGTTTCTAGGTCAGAGGTCAACAAATTTTAAGGGAAAAAAATCGACATTTGCCTTTAACTCAAGTCATTACGGTCATTGTTTAGAGCTGAGTATTTGAGGCTTATCCTATCAATTTTAATCAATTTCCACCACAAACTTTACAAATTTGAACGTAAAAGATGCATTATATTTGTGAGGAACATTGATTGTATATTTGATGAACATTGAATATTGGGTTAGAGGTGCAGGCCCTTTTGTTCTCTTGTTAGTTATAAAATGAAAAGATAAGACATTGGGGAATATATGGGCCTGGCTCCCTTTGTCTTTACCTCTCTATACTGTATCTAGATTCTCTGTCTTACCTGGCTATACTGTATCTAGATTCTCTGTCTTTACCTGTCTATACTGTATCTAGATTCTTTGTCTTTACCTGTCTATACTGTATCTAGATTCTTTGTCTTTACCTGTCTATACTGTATCTATATTCTTTGTCTTTACCTGGCTATACTGTATCTAGATTCTTTGTCTTTACCTGTCTATACTGTATCTAGATTCTTTGTCTTTACCTGTCTATACTGTATCTAGATTATCTGTCTTTACCTCTCTATACTGTATCTAGATTCTCTGTCTTTACCTGTCTATACTGTATCTATATTCTTTGTCTTTACCTGTCTATACTGTATCTAGATTCTTTGTCTTTACCTGTCTATACTGTATCTAGATTATCTGTATTTACCTGGCTATACTGTATCTAGATTCTTCGTCTTTACCTGGCTATGCTGTATCTAGATTCTTAATACGTATTGAAAATTGGGTGTTCACATGTGTCTTTTGTACAGCCTGTACATACAAGAAGTGAAGGGAGGTAAAAAGAAAGATGAATTATATATTATGATTGTTGACAGGTGAGGAAAAGCGTGTCAGCGTAAGTGGTCACCCCTCACGCCAAGTCAGCATGGATATGTCACAGGAAGCTGCTAACACTCAGCTCGTGGCTACAGGCACAGACAATGTGTTTGATGGAGATGAAGATGGGTAAGTAGTCAAAGAATAAAAAGTCTTTGTGCAAATTTTGCCTGGCTTCACACAAGGAAACTACCAATCAAATATGATACTAAGCGTTTTAAATTTGTCAACCCACCATCATCAGAATCTTGGCCCTGTCCTATCAAAGTTATAAATTGGAAACATTTGAGATACCTAACCTATTGGCATGTGTACCATTGCTGGGCAATAAGATCTGGGTGAGTGCTACAGGCCCTATTGGCCTCCTGTTGTATAGTCGTTGCCACTGTGGGTCTGACGCCTTGGAAGCACAAGGGTGGGACAACAATACAAGGCAGGATTGGGTTGTATTTGAAGATAATTAATTTCTGTGTAAACCGAATATCTGACCTACCTGGGATGGAGGTCAGGACCTATAAAGGGAAATAAAGATTAGAGGGATTTTGACCAAATTAGGCTGTAGCGTCATTGGATGGATGGTATTTAATTTTGTTAAAACACAGAATCTGCATGATCTTCTTTGCAAAGAGGGCAAGTCAGTAATTGGAGAAATAGAAGTAAATCTCCTTATTTGGTATGACCAAACCTTACCGGGTGAGTGATTTAGGCCCTGTTTGTTATTGAGGCAGAGTTATAGCTCTTTCTCTGTAATTCTTTCGGTTCCTAACACTTCTTTTCATTTTTGTGTTGACAGTGCCCCCCCACAACAGAAAGTCATCACATTAGTGAGAGGTGGAGATGGACTTGGTTTCTCTATCGTTGGTGGTCATGGAAGTCCCCATGGCGACCTTCCTATCTATGTCAAAAATGTATTCGCAAAAGGTGCTGCAGCAGAAGATGGAAATCTGAAACGAGGAGATCAGATATTGGTAGTGAATGGCGAGAGCCTTGAAGGCTGCAGTCATGAACAGGCTGTTGTGAAACTGAAAAATGCCAAAGGAAATGTTGTAATGACCATTCTTACATCATAACACAACAAGTAGCATGTCTGAAGATAAGGCAGGACAACCATTCCTACAACATGATCTATCGTCCTTTGTCATATCACCGTGGATTGTCACACAGCATCATTTTATATCCTTGTCTTCTATTGGTTGGAGGACCAACCTGTTCTTTATATAGTGTATGAACAAAATGGATAATGTTTATTCAGTTGTCTGAGTGTATCAATTTGTACAGCATTTTCACTTCTTTTTGTTGTAGCACAAATTTCTTATCATTATCAGACAAATTGATGATTTTAAAGAACTGAAATAGATTATTTGTTCAAATAGTTCTCTGTCTGTGGTCCAACCAAACACTCTTCTCTCTTGTTATCACGGGTTTGTAAGAAGTTCTGGATGCATCATTTTCAGATGTAAGTTTGAAATGATGATTAGTGATGTAGGATGGCTGAATAGATCACATCTGTACATTTTTTAGGTTCCTTTTGGTACATTTAATTGCTCATATTTGATATTTGGATTAGAAAGACAAGACAGGATCCAACTGATATAGAACAAAGGATTTGAAATTAATGTGAAGTAGAGATTATGATGATGTTTGTGATATGTTCTGATTGACTTTTTCTACTTCTGGTGTCAATAATGTCAGAATATTGATCAAAATGACATACAGTAACCATTAGAGTAGGTGACATTCTCACTCCAGGGATCAACTTCACTTATAATATCATAACTAAATAGAATTATCTTACATCGTCTCCTACTGCATGATAATATACAGAATAATACATCAATCAAAAGATCCATTTAAAAAAATCATAGTGACAACTTCAGATGAGTCTCCAATCATGATCCTTTGTCGACGCCTCTCCACGATGTCCTTTGTTTTATCACTCTACTTTAGTGAACAAATACCTTTACCATTCACACACAATGAATGTCAGGTATATTCACCAGGAATCAACATCAAATACAGTTTACACAGATAATTCGTGTAGTTATCGACAGCTTGCCTTGAAAGTGGGTTGAGCTTCATCAGTGGTTGAAAGGAGCATTTTGATTGGCTAAGACAATGTGAGGGACCATTTCAATCAAAATTAGTTTTTGTTGAATTTCATTGATATTGCGATAATTACAACAGTTTTAGACTCCAATTATTTTAATATGGGGATAGTGTATATGGGTTGAGTGTTGAAAACCAAAGTTCATGATCTCTAGCATATTCATAAAGACTTGTAGACTATTCACTAATCATGTGATGTGGGCGCCAAGGGGTCTGGTACAATGCCCAATCTCACCGAGTGTTTTGGGTGATGGCGATGATGCTGTGGTCAGCAAGAGTCACAGGACCAATTACAAGTGACATACACTTACTCTATTTCTTTGGTAAAAAGTTAAACTTACTCTGTTTCTATGGTAACATTTTTTTGGTAACTGTTTTGGTGGTAACAAGTTACAGTAACTGTTTCTGTGCTAACAAGTTACAGTAACTATTTCTGTGGTAACAAGTTACAGTAACTATTTCTGTGGTAACAAGTTACAGTAAATGTTTCTGTGCTAACAAGTTACAGTGTTTCTGTGCTAACAAGTTACAGTGTTTCTGTGCTAACAAGTTACAGTAACTGTTTCTGTGCTAACAAGTTACAGTGTTTCTGTGGTAACAAGCTACAGTAACTGTTTCTGTGGTAACAAGTTACAGTAACTGTTTCTGTGGTAACAAGTTACAGTAAGTTTTTCTGTGGTAACAAGTTACAGTAACTATTTCTGTGGTAACAAGTTACAGTAACTGTTTCTGTGGTAACAAGTTACAGTAAGTTTTTCTGTGGTAACAAGTTACAGTAACTGTTTCTGTGCTAACAAGTTACAGTAACTGTTTCTGTGGTAACAAGTTACAGTAAGTTTTTCTGTGGTAACAAGTTACAGTAACTATTTCTGTGGTAACAAGTTACAGTCACTGTTTCTGTGGTAATAAGTTACAGTCACTGTTTCTGTGCTAACAAGTTACAGTAAAATACATTATGTCATATTTGTTATATATTATGTAATGTTGGAAATAAGGACAATATTTTATAATTGTTAAGATAAGGTTGTGGCTCTGCTAATTCTGACAAATCAATTATGCAATTTGAATTTGAAATGATGTATTTTCACCCTTGTATATAAATAAAGAATAGGTGTATTTGTGAGTTTTATGTGTATTATGTATGGCCCTAGACCTATAATAGATAAACAATTTTACCTTTCTAGTTTTCAGTTTGTTAGTATTTGAACACAGTATATATACTTAGATGTTACAACCATATAACCAAGAAATAATGCCACTTTTCTACATTTTTTTATCTAATTTGTTAGGATTATTACAGAATCAAAACTTAAAGGATGTATAACATAAACATGAATAATATGATTTCTCTGGAGGGAGAGTAGTGGGCTTCAGTTGAGGGATTATGTAGTATAGATATAATGAAAAACTTCTCCTGGAATATGACAACTGTCTGATACATATATAGATCTAGCAAAAATAAAACAGAAACTTTTACAAAATGAGTATTCCACTTGGGAAATACTTGTCGTTATTAAACATTAAATAAGATGTGTGATAGAAGTGTACATATCTATTAACCTTTTACACAGGAGTTATTGTTGTATTGTAAAGCACTTTGGTTTGGTTGGTTTACTGGCTTATTTTTAATAATGTTAAGATCCTTGTTAAAACTAGTGTGTAAATGTACCTTATATAGGACTGCACAGTACATGGTAATCTTAATTGATAACATTTCAATTATCACACTCCTGTAATGTCAGGAGTATTTAGATGATATTAATATAAGACAATGAGAAATTCATGTGTGGTAACAACATATAGAAAATATTCCTTTGTGGTGCGGACAATGTGACAGATTACTGTGTGGTGTTAACCATGTGACAGATTACTGTGTGGTGTAGACCATGTGACAGATTACTGTGTGGTGTAGACTATGTGACAGATTACTGTGTGGTGTAGACCATGTGACAGATTACTGTGTGGTGTAGACCATGTGACAGATTACTGTGTGGTGTAGACTATGTGACAGATTACTGTGTGGTGTAGACCATGTGACAGATTACTGTGTGGTGTAGACCATGTGACAGATTACTGTGTGGTGTAGACCATGTGACAGATTACTGTGTGGTGTTAACCATGTGACAGATTACTGTGTGGTGTAGACCATGTGACAGATTACTGTGTGGTGTTAACCATGTGACAGATTACTGTATAGTGTAGACCATGTGACAGATTAGTGTGTGGTATAGACCATGTGACAGATTACTGTGTAGTGTAGACCATGTGACATTACTGTGTAGTGTTAACCATGTGACAGATTACTGTGTGGTATAGACCATGTGACAGATTACTGTGTGGTGTAGACCATGTGACAGATTACTGTGTGGTGTTAACCATGTGACAGATTACTGTGTGGTGTAGACCATGTGACATTACTGTGTACTGTTAACCATGTGACAGATTACTGTGTGGTGTAGACCATGTGACAGATTACTGTGTGGTGTAGACCATGTGACAGATTACTGTGTGGTGTAGACTATGTGACAGATTACTGTGTGGTGTAGACCATGTGACATTACTGTGTAGTGTTAACCATGTGACAGATTACTGTGTGGTGTAGACCATGTGACAGATTACTGTGTGGTGTAGACCATGTGACAGATTACTGTGTGGTGTAGACTATGTGACAGATTACTGTGTGGTGTTAACCATGTGACAGATTACTGTGTGGTGTAGACTTACTGTGTGGTGTTAACCATGTGACAGATTACTGTGTGGTGTAGACCATGTGACAGATTACTGTGTGGTGTAGACCATGTGACAGATTACTGTGTAGTGTAGACTATGTGACAGATTACTGTGTGGTGTTAACCATGTGACAGATTACTGTGTGGTGTAGACCATGTGACAGATTACTGTGTGGTGTAGACCATGTGACAGATTACTGTGTGGTGTAGACTATGTGACAGATTACTGTGTGGTGTAGACCATGTGACAGATTACTGTGTGGTGTAGACCATGTGACAGATTACTGTGTGGTGTAGACCATGTGACAGATTACTGTGTGGTGTAGACCATGTGACAGATTACTGTGTGGTGTAGACTATGTGACAGATTACTGTGTGGTGTAGACCATGTGACAGATTATTACACTGTATCCATGTTTGTTGACAGGATTTCTTATTGTTCCTTCGTTTAATGTTTGACCTGATTATTTTATAATACAAGATCATATTATTGTTCACTGTTCACAACACAAACTAAAATAAACTGATTTACTCTATCTTGTCTGTTGTTTTATAAGTCACCTAAAACCGTGAAATTACAGAGTTATATATTACAATCAGTAGAGTAACTTACAGAATTATATATCACTGGTTTATACTATAACAGTGCTGTTTGTCAGTTCTGTTACTGGGTGGTAGCAGTGCTCTGATCTCAAATATACACTCCACATTTTTATTACACAAACAGTAATGTCTATATGGCAAATTTTGCTCCTCTGGATAGAACTTTCCAACTTAATGAGAGCTTATCCCTTTCTACAGTGCAAATCGCTTTGAAGTCCTAATAGATATGTTCCAAGAGCAGTAGAGTGGCCCTACATGACCAATGAAGTGCTGATGTAGTGGAATGGCCCCTACATGACCAATGAAGTGCTGATGCAGTGGAATGGCCCTACATGACCAATGAGCTGCTGATGCAGTAGAATGGTCCCTACATGACCGATGAACTGCTGATGCAGTGGAATGGCCCCTACATGACCAATGAACTGTTGATGCAGTGGAATGGCCCTACATGACCAAAGAACTGCTGATGCAGTAGAATGGCCCCTACATGACCGAAGAACTGCTGATGCTGTAGAATGGCCCCTACATGACCGAAGAACTGCTGATGCAGTGGAGTGGCCCTACATGACCAATGAAGTGCTGGTGTAGTGGAATGGCCCCTACATGACCAATGAACTGCTGATGTAGTGGAATGGCCCCTACATGACCAATGAAGTGCTGATGCAGTGGAATGGCCCTACATGACCAATGAGCTGCTGATGCAGTGGAATGGCCCCTACATGACCAATGAACTGCTGATGTAGTGGAATGGCCCCTACATGACCAATGAACTGCTGATGCAGAGGAATGGCCCCTACATGACCAATGAACTGCTGATACAGTAGAATGACCCCTACATTGTATACGGACAGACCCTCGTGTAGTGGGAGAGTGTGCTTCCCTAGCTTTTGACTAAAGACAATGGCAATGAAGGCCCAAAAACAAACAGGCAAAAAATATCACGGGCCTGAAAAAGGACAAGAATGATCCGAAGGTACCAAGCATTGATATAGTCGATGATGTTCTGACTAATAATTTACAAATTCGCTCTAATTTATCCATTCAAGAAATTGAGCTGGTGAAGGACAAACTTCCAAAGATCATTTTACATACGGCAGATCAGTTACTAGACTTCAAAGCGAAGTGCATTGGGAGGGGTGTCACGGGGGTAGATAGGACCTTCAATGTGGGTAAATGCTTTGTCACTACAAATCTCA